TGTAACAATATCATAGCTTTGAATAAACCTGAGAGTCTCGATGCCGTCAGCCCGCGACGCGCCAGTATGTCCCGTGGGTGCAACTGACTGTCGTCCACCAAAAACAATCCCCATGCTTGGTGTACAAGCGAGTTAGCACAATACCCAGTTAGCACAACTGAGAGGATATGCTAGATATGGGCGAGCGCAGGTCATCGGGTACATAAGGCACCCCACCAGCTTTGAGTTTTGACCACTCGGCTCAACTGGCTCGCCAAAGATAGAGGTCGAGAGCTTATGGTCAACAGGCAGAGTGTCAGAATATTATAGCTTATGCATATTGTGTAGGCTATAGTGGGGTAGCCCATAAGGGGTACAATCCAATTAGGGTTAGTACTTGGCGCGTCGCGGGCTGGGGTATTGTGCTAACTCGCTTGTACACCAAGCATGGGGATTGTTTTTGGTGGACGACAGTCAGTTGCACCCACGGGACATACTGGCGCGTCGCGGGCTGACGGCATCGAGACTCTCAGGTTTATTCAAAGCTATGATATTGTTACAGTCTTGGCGCCGTAGCTGTTTCGCAGAGGTCCACTCGCTTGTATTCGGTGGCATACTCCAGTTGTGAGGTAGAGATATGGCTGCTACGGAGCTCCGCTGGCTGACGTTAGTGCTTACAGACTTAAGTGAGCCAGCCGCTTAGCTTTGCCCTAGTTTTGTTCGCATTATCATAGCCATGATACTCTGGAGGCTCGAGCGAAGCATATTGATATTGAGTGGGACATGGTCTTGCTTCTGGTATTGAGTGGGACGGGACTTTTGGGGGGGCACATTGATTTATCAGTGTATGTACCGTATCTCAAATCCTATATGGCTGTTAGTTGAAGCTTTTTGCCGTAGTCCACCCAGGGCCCAAAATATCAGGGTAAAACGCCCTGATTACCCTGGGGGCAGGCCGCTTTTTCAGGATTACCGTACCCTGCCAAAATCAGGATTCCACGAAAGTTACCCTTTTGCAAAGAGAGCATGTTTTTTTTTTTACCCTGATAGGATTTATGGTTAGCCTGACAGTATCAGGGTAGGGTGTAGACTACCCTGATACTGAAACCTTTTTACCGCGGATCAGGCCATACTCCGCTTGGTGACGAACTGTACCACACCCACACAAACAAGCGTTGTCGCTTCTTACCACTGGCATAAAACCGAGATTCGTTGTCGGCGACACGCCATGTCGCCTCATTGGTTTGTTTCACCCAATGAGGCGACACTTGTCAAAACATATTGTTATGTTCTTACTCTAGGTTGTGTAGGGTCACACCTTAGAGGGTACAACCCAACTCTCTCGACACTCTTGTACCCCCTCTCCCTCACCTAATCATCATTCCTCACCTAGCTACTAGTGATTCTAACAACACTCAGTTTGTAGAAGTAGTAGGCAGTGGGGGTGGCACTGAGTAGGTGTGTTGTGAATGTGATGCTCTTCCAGAGCTCATGGACTTTGTGAGTGCTGTGCTACTTTATTATGTCATTGTAAATAACAGGGTTAGCTCACAAAATAGTAACTGAAACAGGGTTGGCCTTAAACTACCCTGCTCAAATCAGGCTAGTGGTTGATTCACCCTGCTGCAAACAGGGTACGAAAATTTTTACCCTAGGGGTCGGGTAAGGAGGGGCTGGAACCCTGATTTGTAAGGGTTGGCCTAAACCAATTTTGGGCCCTGAGTCCACCTCATGCAAAGCATAAGAGCTATATAGACAAAGAAATGTACATCGTAATAGGACAATGTACAGTATATGAAAGTTGCCCAACAAAAACATACGTAAAAGAAATATACTGTACCATAAATGATAGTGGGCACTGTGAAAATGATTACTTTATTGTGGCATCATCACGTGACATAAAGCACAAAAACAAAATATCAGATAAACATTTGATGTACACATTTGATCACTAAACTGCAAAATTGGATGCCATATGGCAATATTTCTGGCACGAACCATTTGCCATGGGAGTAGTGCAAGGTTGGGACCTCTCGACTCGCCGAGTGAGGGAACTGTTGAGCAGCGGGGAACCCTCACACATGGCATTCACCTCCATGTGATGGCACAGCCACCAGCATGAGATGGGACCCAGTCACAATGGACTGTCAAAATTTGCAGGTACTACCACCACCACCACCACCACCATACCACTTGATGCTTCACGCTCGCCCTCCCCCTCCCACGACCCCTACCCTCCCTCATCCTTCACCCCTCCAGTCTTGTTATGGACAACTATTCAAAATTGACCCAACAATCATTCTCTTGAGCTGCTGTGCTCCCAAAACAATGTGTCTCCGTCCCTGTCCAGTGCCACTGGAGGATGGCAGGACTGCCTCTGACCCTTGCCCCCTTCCCCCTGCCCCCTGCCCCCTGCCTCTGCCGGTGCCGCTGCACTCCCCCTAGTGGTGCCGATTCGTAGCGCTGCTGTGGACAATGCAGCAGGCGCACGGCACATCATGCACACGTGCATGCGAGCAGGCATGTCAAGCCAAGCCCAAACACCCCACTGCTCACAACCCCTTCACCACCCCCCCCCTCACTTGCCCCCTGCTCCTCTCACTTGCCCCCTGCTCCGCTCACTTGCCCCCTGCTCCGCTCACTTGCCCCCTGCTCCCCTCACTTGCCCCCTGCTCCGCTCACTTGCCCCCTGCTCCCCTCACTTGCCCCCTGCTCCCCTCACTTGCCCCCTGCTCCCCTCACTTGCCCCCTGCTCCCCTCACTTGCCCCCTGCTCCCCTCACTTGCCCCCTGCTCCCCTCACTTGCCCCCTGCTCCCCTCACTTGCCCCCTGCTCCCCTCACTTGCCCCCTGCTCCCCTCACTTGCCCCCTGCTCCCCTCACTTGCCCCCTGCTCCCCTCACTTGCCCCCTGCTCCCCTCACTTGCCCCCTGCTCCCCTCACTTGCCCCCTGCTCCCCTCACTTGCCCCCTGCTCCCCTCACTTGCCCCCGGTGCGCTTGAGCGAGGAGAAGAAGCCTCCTCGCCTCTCCCTGCGCCTCTGCTCGCCCTCGCCCTCCTCCTCCACCTGCGACTCGGGCACCACACAGGCACAGGGCACACAGTGGCCAGGGAAGCACCGGGGAAAATTATATAGTTGAGGATGAGGCAAACGATGAATCAGTTGGCACATGTGATTCACGCGGAGCACACGCAGCATGACCCGATGCCCCGATGCCCCGATGCCCCTTCTCATGTGCCATGCCCCTCCTCATGTGCCATGCCCCTCCCTTCCCACGCACCACATGCATCATGCATGAGTCAGCATCGTCGAGTCACCATCGGCACATGCTTTGCTGGAGATCTTCGCCTGGTTCTTTCTAGTCACGATTCACATGTTTTCAAAGGAAACCCATCACTTGTGTAATCGCAGACATGAAAACGTTTCAGGTGTCTCTACAGAGTAGATGATCTTACATGTGGCCCTGGGGCTACGTAGCTTGACCATTCAGGATTTCAGCAGACCTGTCACACTGCAACGGCCCTTGCAGGAATAGAGCTCACACTCGGCAATGCCCCCCCCTCTCACCTCGTGTGCCATGTCAGCCAGCAGCGCAGCACCATGCTGAACTCGGGGCGCTCAGCGGGGTTGGTGTGCCAGCACCGCACCATCAGCTCTGCCACCCGCGGGTGTGTTCCCTTGGGGATGGGCGGCCGCAGCCCCTGCCGTGGGGGGAGGGGGGACAGGGGGGTGGAGGGACGAGAGCACGAGCAGCAGTGCAGAGTGTGAGTTGGTGCGGCTGTGGAGAGAGTGTGGGTTGGTGCAGCGTGTGCAACCTTATGACCAGGTCACAGCCCTCCCACACCCGGTTCTCACAATTATTCTCACAGCAAACCCTCACAACCGCTTCACACCACTGCTCACCTTTTGCACGACACTGACAGCTGCTTGCAGAGGTGTGAGATCCGCATAGGGCAGCTGTGGCATGTGGCCCGCACACATGCACACACACAACAACAGGCACATGCACACGTGCACGCACGGAGAGTGAGGGAAGAAGGGGAGTATGAGACTTGGGAGCTGATTCATACACATGTGCCTGCACGACGACCTTTGTTTGCAAGGCCGCTTGCCCTCCAAAGACCCCTATCTCGCCCTCATCCCCCCACCCTCCCCACCTTGCCAGCAAGCAAGGTGAGACGAGCAGCCCACCTCACCCCCATTCCCCATTGCACCTGCCCCATCTCCCCCAGATCCCACCCACGTGGCCCACATGCACCAACCCCACCCACGTGGCCCACATGCACCAACCCCAGCGCAGCGCAGCGCAGCGCACCTTGCCGGTGAGCAGCTCCCACAGCGTGATGCCAAAGCTGAAGACATCCGCCTTGTGGTCGTACGCGCGGTGCTCTATCACCTGCCATGCCACCACCATGGTGCATCGTGCATGGTGCAAGGGGCATGGGACATGTGACTTGATCTAAGGGAAGGCACATGACACTTCAGAAAGATTCACCGTGCACCAAGATTAAGCGATTGAGACGTATCTTAAGCTTATGTTTTGTATAAATTGTATGTACATTACTGAAGATGATTCTCTGTACTAAGAGTAATGCGTTACTTAAGCGCATCTATCTTCCGTACTGAGTGTAAGCGCACTGCTTGTGTTTATGTTTGCATGAACCGTCAGCACCCCCACCTGTCTCCAGCGGTACGTGCCGGTCTCACCTCGGGCGCCATCCAGCGGTACGTGCCGGTCTCACCTCGGGCGCCATCCAGCGGTACGTGCCGGTCTCACCTCGGGCGCCATCCAGCGGTACGTGCCGGTCTCACCTCGGACGCCATCCAGCGGTACGTGCCGGTCTCACCTCGGGCGCCATCCAGCGGTACGTGCCGGTCTCACCTCGGGCGCCATCCAGCGGTACGTGCCGGTCTCACCTCGGGCGCCATCCAGCGGTACGTGCCGGTCTCACCTCGGGCGCCATCCAGCGGTACGTGCCGGTCTCACCTCGGGCGCCATCCAGCGGTACGTGCCGGTCTCACCTCGGGCGCCATCCAGCGGTACGTGCCGGTCTCACCTCGGGCGCCATCCAGCGGTACGTGCCGGTCTCACCTCGGGCGCCATCCAGCGGTACGTGCCGGTCTCACCTCGGGCGCCATCCAGCGGTACGTGCCGGTCTCCGCCGTCATGATGCCGCTGCCCGCCTTCACCCGCGCCACCCCAAAGTCCGCCACCTTCACCACCTGCACTCGCGCCCGGGGGTGAAAAGGGGGAAAGGAGGAAGGATAGGCAAGGCTTTAGGGCATGGGGTGGGGAATGAGCGGTGGTATGGAGGATGGGAGCAGCCAGCACGCGTAGCAGCGGCACTGAGAACTGCGCCTCTCCTCCTGCCATCCATACCCATGGCACCTCACATAATACACCCGCCCATAGTACACTGAACACAGCGCATGCGAGGCAGAGGGATGGAATGCCTCGTTCTCGTCCATGAGGAGGTTGGCGGCCTTGAGGTCGCGGTGGATGATGCTGTTCGTACTTCCATATATGTGCCACTTAACCTTATGTTGGCAAGTAAGAGCAGACATCACAGGCAGTTTGCGCACCTCATTCTCGTCCATGAGGAGGTTGGCGGCCTTGAGGTCGCGGTGGATGATGCTGTTCTTACTTCCATATATGTGCCACTTAACCTTATGTTGGCAAGTAAGAGCAGACAGACATCACAGGCAGTTTGCGCACCTCATTCTCGTCCATGAGGAGGTTGGCGGCCTTGAGGTCGCGGTGGATGATGTTGTTCTTGTGCAGAAAGTCCATCCCCTTGGCCACGTCCATTGCCACGCGCACCACCATGGGCAGCCGCATGCTGCCGCGCTGCTTGTGAATGTAGTCGTACACACTGCCGCCCACCATGAACTCTGGTTAGTCACATGCACGCACACACATACACACGGGAAAGGGGCAGTTAGGAGAGAGAGGTTTGTTAAGGCAGGTGTGGTGGGCAAGAATGGAGGGGGAGGAATGGCAGCATGGCATGGCACTGCACAGACTAGCGGCTACGATGCAATGTAACAAATACATGATTCGATCTAATTATTCATGCTTCAAAGTAATGATTGGCACACTGACCTGTTGCCTTGCACACCTGTGACTACGGCTAGGGTGGAATGCGTACATGTGACTATAGCTAGGGTGGAGTGTACCTGTGACTATAGAGAGGTTAGGCGGCTTGGTGCAGGCTCCGATAAATTGCACCACATTCTTATGGCGAACCTTCCTGTAGAGGCCACGGGTTGAGGCGGAGGGTTGTGCACACACGTGAACATTGTGCCGGGAGTGATGGTAGTGAAGCGGGTCAGGCAGACAGTCATACATGACGACAGGGACGAGGGGGTCACATGGAATTACATCACACTGGCATCACACAGCATGACCTCATGATGCACACCTCACCTCATGATGCACACCTCACCTCATGATGTACACCTCACCTCATGATGCACACCTCACCTCATGATGCACACCTCACCTCATGATGTACACCTCACCTCATGATGTACACCTCACCTCATGATGCACACCTCACCTCATGATGCACACCTCACCTCATGATGTACACCTCACCTCATGATGTACACCTCACCTCATGATGTACACCTCACCTCATGATGTACACCTCACCTCATGATGTACACCTCCTGGGCGAACTCCTGCTGCAGCGAGTCGTTGAGGCGCTCGGGCTTTAAGATCTTGATCGCCACGTCCTGCCCGCAGTACGTGCCCCGGTACCTGGTGCCATGCCACGCCATGCCATGCCATGCCATGCCATGCCACCCGCGCCATGCCATGCCATGCCATACCATGCCACCCGCGCCATGCCATGCCACGCCATGCCATGCAGTGCAATGCAAAGCCATGTTGCACGCAGTGACAAGCGCACAAAGTGAGCAGGAGAGGGCAGCTTGAGTTGAAGCCAATTGGGTGGGCTGCCTGCAGCACCCCCAACCCCCTGTGCCCTGCATCCCAAGGGTGGAGCATAACGCACAGGTCACCAAAGGAGCCGGAGGCGATCTTGTGGTGCAGCTTGAGCTGCTGGCTGTCGATCTCCCAGTCGTCCCGCCCGTCCGTGGGGATGGGCACGCGTGACTCCGCCCCCGACACCAACGACCCCGCCCCCTGCCCGCCTGCCCCCAGCCCCCCTATGCCCGCTGACTCCGACCCCGCGGGGCCACGCCCTGACTGCATTGACTGCATTGACTGGCCGGACGCCTCTGGCTGCATGGAGAGCGCTGCGCCCGCCCCCATCTGCCAGGTGATGGGGCGTGAGTGAGAGGGTGTGTGAATGCGTGAGGGCGGGTGGCGGATAGCGGGAGAGCATGAGAATGGTGTGAATGCAGCGCGCCAGGGATGGGCAGAGAAGATAGTGTGTGCATCCACATGACATCCGTGCAGTGCGGTGCAGTGCAGTGTAGTGAGGTGCAGGGGATGCAGGGGGTGCATGGGTTAGTAAGGGCAAGAGTGGAGCAGGGGCGGGCGGGAGTGGGGCTGACCTGCAGCACGCGCACCAAGGCTGCATGCAGATCCACCACGTCCTGCTGGCCGCGCACATGGGGGCACATGCAGGGGCGCACACCCACACATGGGGGCACACGGGGGCGCAGAGGGGCACAGCAGGCAGCACGTCACGCGGCACAGACGAGACGGGAGGGGTTAGGAGCGGAGGACAATGGCCATGGCACGACCGTATGGAGAGAGGCAGTGGGGGGTGCGAGCACAGAGAGTGGCAGTGGGGGGTGCGAGCACAGAGAGTGGCAGTGGGGGGTGCGAGCACAGAGAGTGGCAGTGGGGGGTGCGAGCACAGAGAGTGGCAGTGGGGGGTGAGAGCACAGAGAGTGGCAGTGGTGGAGGAGGGGGGGGTTGGTCTACTTTTGAAGCGCCTCAAAAGAGGCAGTGGTGGAGGAGGGGGGGTTTGATTGCGAGGGTGGACCTCGGTGGGCCAGCCGTCGACGACGAAGACGTCGAGGGAGAGCCCGTCGGACGTGGAGAACACATGCGCCTCCCTTATGTTCAACCCCGCGTCCGCCAACACCGCTGACAGCTGCCACGGGGGGAGGAGAGGGCAGGTGGGCGGAGGGGCGGGGGGAGTGATGAAAAAGTTGAAGGGGAAAAGGGGTTCCGAGGAAGGGATTTGATGCTGTGCTGAGCTGTGAATTCTCGGTTAAGCGCTTGTCAACCACCTGGCTGAGCACTTATCACCCACCTGGCTGAGCACTTATCACCCACCTGGCTGAGCACTTATCACCCACCTGGCTGAGCAATTATCACCCATCTGGCTGAGCACTTATCACCCACCTGGCTGAGCGCTTATCACCCACCTGGCTGAGCACTTATCACCCACCTGGCTGAGCAGCTTGGGGCGGTCGAAGGTGGAGAAGGTGACTTCGTGCATGGGCACGTTGTAGTACGGCGCACTGCCATGGCGGAGGGGGAGGGCAGGGCGCATGGGGGAAAGGAGAGAGGAGAGGCATGAGGCACGGGGGAGAGGGGGGAGGGAGACGAAGTGAGGCAGACGGACGCATGGCAGGCAGGTGGCATTCTTTCATTCACCCGCCCCACCCCCCCCCGCAGCACACGCCTCTCTTCCCGCCACGCCCGCCACAGCCTCACCGCCCTCTCCCCCACCACTACATCTCGTCTCATCGCCACCACGCCCCACCCCCACGCCCCACACGCCACGCCCCACGGCACGTGTGGCAGCCCGAGCACCTGAGGTCGGCGTGGCGGTGGTCGCCCATGGCACCGCCGTGCCCGCCGCCCGCCACCGGCTCCTCCAGATTCGGCGACGACCCAAACGCTGGCGGCGCTAGCGCGCTGCTCCGCGGGGGAAGAGAGGGAGGGAGGGGGGGGGGGGGGGTGGAGGGGGGCGAGGGGGAGGGGGGAGAGGGAGGGGGGACAGGGGAAGGGGGAGAGAGAGGGGGCGGAACCGAAGGTTGGAGGGAGGGAAAGGGCGAACGGCAAAAGGCAGGGACGAGGAGGTGTGGCGTGAAGGGGAGGGAAGGAGGTGCAAGCACGGAGGGGAGCAAGGAGAGAAGGGGGAGGAAGGGCACGAAGGGTTGTCGGGGGACGGTTACCCGTGGGGCGGCAGGGCGGGATGGTGGTCGTCCGTCTCCATGCTCGCGTGCTGCCCCGCCTCCCCGCTGCCGCCATCTGCGGGGAAGCGCGCCACGCACGTAAGGGGGACGCACACGCGCACGCATGGGGAGCTGCACATGACCGCCTCAACGGCGCGCTTGCGCCGGCGCGCATTGCACTGCGCTAGGCAGGCCTTACGACAGGCGGGAGTTGGGGTAGGCGGGGGGAGCGCAATGAGGGATGAAAGCAGAAGCGAGTAGGGGGGAGGCGGGCGGGGGGCAGCGGGGGCGCGCGCGTACCCGGACGGCGCGGACGAAGAAGACGGGCAGCCCGTGCAGCCGCGCCGCCTCCTCCAGCAGCCGCTTGTGCGTCAGCACGTCCTCCGCGCGCTCCGTGTTCACGTCCAACGCATACCTGCCGCCGCCAAGCGCGCCGAGCAATGGTAACATTGGTATGCCATGGTATGACATTCATGCCATGCAGCGGACAACCGCACACGGGCAGGCACACAACGAGTCAGGCAAAGCGACAGTGCGACAACTCCCTCCAGTCGCATGGCAGGGATTCGGGCGACGGAATAGCGTGTGTGGGAAGTGCCGCAAAACGCGGCGACGCGTCAGACCCGGAACGAGTGGGAATGGCGCGACTCGCCTGGTGGGGAGGCGGTCGAAGTGCGCGAGGAGGTCGGCGTCGAAGCCGCTGGCCTGCGCGCTCGGGTGGCGCGCCTCGCGCAGCTTGCGGATCACCTCGTCGCACACCTCCCGCTTCACGCGCTGCCGCTGCCGCCTCTCCGCCTCCCCCGCCGCACCTGTCGCTGGGCGGTCGCCGCTCGGGGAGGGGAGGGGGCGGCGGGATCCATGAGCGCGCTCTACTGGCGGGCTCGCGCGCCTAACGCCGCGCGCATACACCTGGCGGCGCCGCTCAGGCCCACCGCCTCGCACCGCACGCTACGACGAGGTTCAGGCTTGATGGGGGCTTTGGAGGAACGAGGGAGAGGAAGAGCGGAGTCCAGTAAACACGAGGACGCGCGGGCCTCCCAGAAATGAGACGCACACGGAAGGAATGGACGGCCTAATCGTACCTATCCTACCGATCGCGCTGCGCGAAAAAATGTGACGAAGCGTTCGTGATGGTGGTCGAGAGGGGATGGCACCATCGTCGTGCTAGGTGGCGTCGTGCTTGCGGTGCAGTGGGAGCGGGTGGCAGCGCCAGCTGATGTCGTCTGTGAACCACACAGGCGTCGTGAACATGGACGCCACTCTGGTCGCTACTCGGGTCACAGTGTTCCTGCAAAACACTGATGCTGTTATGCCAGTCGAGGACCACTGTGGAGCTATGATGAGGCTGGAGCCATGACTGGATGGAAATGCGGAATGTGAAAACGTACGTAAAGTTGAACCAGGCAGCCCAGAACAGCTTGAGCTGGAATTGTCCATGTGGACGCTTTGGGTGCGCCGTACCCTATTTTCCAGGAGGGTGTTCTCGCCTCTGTATCTTGAAATGAGTTTGTTTGAATCCAGTCAAGTGCTCCTTGGAATTCAAAATACTACAACAGAGCTCATGTTCCATCTATTTGCTACTCAGCACGCATGGGGTTTCGAGCAGGAAATGGAGGGGATTTTCTCTAAGTAATTGTAGGGCCTAGGAAACGGCAAAACCCGCCATCCAGGATACATGCAGTTGCCCTTTCGAGTACACTCGTGCTGCCTTCCTATTTACTATTTTCGTCTCCAACCCCACCAATCAGGGCAGCACGTAAGTAAGACTTTCGCTCCAAGCCACAACATTTCGGCTTTGGTGGCTCCAAGAGTTCTGATAGGGCAGCAAGCCAGCGTTCCATTGGAAGATTCTTCCTGACCGCAGCAGCATTTGTGCGCAACGCAAACCCGCCATTCGCCAAAGGCGCGAGCACCAACATTGGCCCACAAAGCAGCCATCGCGTGTGTTGGCAGGTCCACTGGCTTCGAAACAACACTCTCCGACAAAAGGGATCGATACAGTCTTGTTCAGCCACCCTTACTACCATTGTATGCATGTTTCCAAGATAAGATTGTTTGTATTATAAACTAGCAAAATTATGAGGGCTCCAGAAACTATTTGACAGCTCAGAAACTTCCAGAGTCTGGCCTTTGGTGTAGACGATACATATCAGCTACACTCTCTCAGCACATATCCCCACATGTGCACTATTTATGGGTCATAACATAACATGAAGTACCAAACCAAGTTCTGCCATGTATTTGCGTTTCACGAGTCATCCAAGTCCTGTACACACATATGCCCAGCCAAATGCTGCTGTGTAAGGCAGTTCACTATGGTACAGCATCTGTTGAGGGTAACAGTACCAGTAATGTAGCCTCCCTTGCCACATCACGTGGCATGGCCATGGGCGGGTGCGGCGCTTGCTGAGCTCCCTGGCCACCGACTCCGCCACAAACTCCCTCGCCCACTCGCCCCCACCTGCTCCCTCCACCAGCACTGGCGCCTGGGGAAGGAAAGGGAGGAAATGAGCAGAGAGCATGGCATGAGCACGGTGCTGTGAGGTATGGGCAGGTACAATGCGATGGGCAGAGGCATCTGATGCGTGAGGGAGTGCAACGCAACGCACCTGCTGGAGAATGCTCAGGGCAGCATGCGTGCTGGCGAGGCTCGTGCTGTCGTGGGCCAAGGGCTGGCTGAGTGGTGTGAGCAGCCTCGGTGGGGCACCATGAGGCGTGGGAGAGCGCCCGTGACGGCTGCGACAGCGAGCGCGGCACCGGTCGTTGGGGCGCGAGCGACGAGGAGGGGGGGAGCGCTGGTGTCGATGACGGAGTGGCCAGGAGAGATGGGGGCGCAGGTTGCGCTATGGTAGATTGGAAAGGAGGCAGTGCGGTGGAGAGGGGCGAGGAGGGTGAGGATGCGGAAGAGGAAGAGGAGGGTTGTGAGAGCATGCGGCTGTTGCTGAGCTGCTGGCGCAGCTGGGTGACCCGCTGCTCCTCCTGCACGCACGCAGGGTGGAATGGCGGAGGAGACGAGCTTCAGCCATCACCGGGTCAGCACATGCCACTCTGTATTCCCCATATGCCATGATAGGCTCATGCATGACACTCACTGCATGCATGCATTACCCTCACTCTGCACCCACCATGCCATTACAATCCAGCCATCCTCATCACGCCATCATCACCATCCCATCCCCTTCCTGTGCGCACCTCAGCTGCTCGCTTCTGGGCGAAGGCGAGGGAGGAGAGCAGGTGGGTGCGGGATGCGGCGAGGGAGGATGAGGGCGGGTGGGTGGCGGTGGTGAGGGCGAGCGTGGCGAGTGCTGAGAGGCGCCCCTCCGTCCACTGCACCGCCGCCTCGTACCGCTGCCAAGACGCCTCCGCCTCCTCCTGTGCTCCCACACAAATAGACACACACGTGAAGGGGAGGGACAGAGGCACGACATATGAGAGGGGTGACAGGCGATGGGCAAGATGCATGAGACACATGGAGGAGAGGGGTGCATGTTGCATGTTGCAGCAAGGCGCACGTCAGCAACTCGCTTCATCTCTCCTCTTTGCCCCCCGACGCACCAGCTTCTGCTCCAGGGGTGACAGCGCCGCCTGCAGCGCCTGCGCCCTGCTCTCAGGGGCTGCTGTGGTGGGCGCGGGCGTGGAGGCGGGTGCTGTGGCGGGGTGTGCAGGTGCAGCGCGAGTGGACTGCTCCGCCTGCCTCAGCGCCGCCAGCACCCTCCCCGCCACCACCGCCGCCGCCGCTGCTGCTGCCGGATCGGCAGCTGCGGCCGTGGCTGCCCCACCCCTGGTGGCCCCCACAGCTGCCGGCAGCGCCATGCCGTACTGCTCTGCCACTCCCTTCAGCCACTCCGGACCGTCGCTCAACCGCACTCCCTCTCCTCCCATCTCTCTCAACCGCGCTCCTCCCACTCCACTGCCCTCCTCCTCCAAGCCCACTGCCCCTCTCCCCCCTGAGCCATCCCCACCCCCCCTCCCCCACGCTGCTTCCGCCTAGTGGCCCTGCGCCCCTCCACCACCCCCGCCACTCGCCGCCGCAGCTGCAGGGTAGGGGAAGGGGAAGGGAAAAGGCAAGAGGAGGAGGGGGGGACATCCAGAGAGGGACGGTTGGTGACACCAAGTGGGCCGGATGGTTAAGCTAGGGCGGGTGGCAAATGAAGGAGGAAAGCGCGAAAAGCAGAGCGAAGCGACAGCAATTTCTGATGCTGCCCTCACCTCGGCCTGCTGCGCAGCCGTTGATTGCCCCTCGCGCCCCTCGCGCCCCGCTTCCCCTGTTTCTTCCGCCCGCCCCCGCCTGCCCTGGCGCACCCACGCCATCATCCGCTGCATGCGCCCCTCCAGCGCGGCCACGTGCTGCTGAGCTGTCTGCTTACGTGGAGAACGACTGCCGCCACCTGGACCGACAGCCGGCACAGCTGTAGCAGCAACCACCGCTACAGTCGGCAGCTGCCACGCCACTTCTGCGCTCTGGCCTTCTGCCTCGGGTGCCGTCACTGCTGTCGCTGCTGCCTCCGCCTGCACTGCCTCCGCCCAAGCTGTTTCCGCATGAACGGCTTCCGACCGCACTGCTTCCGCCTGCACGGCCTGCGCGGGCATGCTAGTTCCCGCCGCTGCTGCCGCAGCGGCCGATAAGAAGAGCACGCCTAGCCGGGACGCCTGGAGTGCGGGAGGGCGGAAAAGCGAGGGAGGGGAGGGGACGCGGAGGGTCACGGGGCATGGGGCCAGCTATAGCAAGTAGGTCAGGAGATGGGCAGCGGAAGAGCACGGGGTTCACAGCACAGACGGCGCGCGCACGCACCAGGCGGCTGGGCGTCAGTGGCGCGGCGTCAGCAGCGCAAGCCGCGCCCGGATATCCTTCTTCCGCCCGGCGGGTTCCGCCTGCCGCCTCGACCGCGACGGCGAGGCTCTCCCTCATCGTCATGCCCATTGCGCCCTCCTCCAGAGACGGCGCGCGGAGCGGCGGAACGGCAGAGAGCAACGAGAAGGGGTCGACCGTGTTTCTGGAGGGGGGAAAGCGCGGAGAATAAAGAGAGGTGGCGCAATTGCGGAGACAGAATTAGCGTGCGGCAGGGGGGCGACAAATGGAGTCGTGGCGCGAAGAAACAAGTGGGTGTGTGACAGGGATAGTTCTACTGAAGGGAATTGAAGGCGACGGAAGCAACTCACCGCGCGGCATCGAGGCTCAGCGCGGCGCGGACTCGCAGCGCCTTCACTCCGCACGGCGATGGCGGCGGTCGATGCCACGGGCGCTTGAAGGCCGGGCCTGCGGAATGGATGGCTGGAACGATGCGGGGAACGATGCGGGGAACACAGTGGAAGGCGAGCTTCAGTCACACGCGCTGCAGGGTGGAGATGTTATTCATTGTGTGGGAAAGGTTGTCGCACACGGTGTCATGACGCGAATTGCGAGGAATTTGCGGGGATAGCAAGGCGCTAATTTTCACGTGGAAATTCAGCGCGGATGTCGTCTTGACGCAGTGAGCTTAACAACAGGCAGCGGGGTAAGGAAGGCATCCCAGGCGATGGTCATGGGAGAGACCCAACGCCATGCAGTAGCCTACACGCGCGTGCGACCGCGCGCCGACCCTCACCTGACGGCCTTTGCGCCTCGCGAATCCTCAACCCCGCACTCGCCGCCCGCCACTGAAGGTGAAATTGCCCCCACGAGCACTTGCCCCGCCTACCCCCGCGCGACGCCGCGGGCGGAACCCACTGCCGTGGCGCTACTGCTTGGCTCGCCATAGTCACGATCATTTTCGCTACTTCGTCGTTCGGCTAATAGGCTATCGGTGTTCGCTGCGCAGCTATTGACGTGTGGGGACAAGTGCGACCAAGTGCAACAGAAGATAAGTAAAAGTTTTAGAATTCAGGTAAGGCAGAAACGCAGCACAAGGAAGGGAAGTGAAGGATCGAGACGGATTTCCGTGTTAGGATCAGGTAAGTCACGTGTGTGTGGTTGAAGCACAACAGCCATGACAGCAGGGGCACTGTAAAACCGAAATGCATGCATCTTGACATCGACATTGCACCATTTCCTCGACACTTATTGGCGGGGCTCATTCCCCCCGGTACGCGTCTCGGCTGAGCAACGCGAATCTCAGATGACGCCCTTTCCGCCACACCGCCACCCCCAACGCCAGCACCGCGCCACATCCGCTTGCTGTCGCGCACCGGCTGTCCTGCCCTTCCAGCCACACAACTGCCAGCAACCTCCAACCAACCTCTGGCGACGATTCACGGTCTTTGACGACAACTGTGAACCAATCGACAGACATTGGCGAGGTTCGTAAAGTGCCCAAATAGAATTCAGCTATATAGGCGCGATGCGTTTAGATTCTCTGAACACCAACATAGTCAAAGAGTATGAACCACAATATAAAACTAGCTGGTTAATATCAAAACCAGCAACAAAGTCACCCTTATTATCCTGACTGTGACTTTCAGGTATAAAACCTTCCTGTCTTGGGAGCTCTGTGCACTGAACTGAAGCCTAGGCGGGAAAATGATTAAAGAAAATAACTAAGCAGGGCTGTACAGCTTCCTTTTGCAAGTTACAGCTTTACAAACAAGGTCAGAATCATCTATCACCCAAAGCCCAATCATATCCATACTTCTGATTTTCTTCCCTTTTGTTGCGAATTGAGGTGGCAGTAGAGCAGGTAGCAACGTTCCCTTGGGCACACGCACTGCGCCATCGCGTCCAAAGGGTATCGAATCCACCTCCCTGAAATGCATTGCCTGAGTCAGCAGCACCCGCATCTGCTTCTGCTGCACGCCACTCCCCGGCTCCCCACACCCCACCTCCACCTTGTCCAAGCCCCCCATGCTTCCCCCCTTGGGCGCCTGCGCACACAGCTTAGCCAGCTGGCCCCACGCCGAGACTGTAGCGGCGCGAGAACGAATCACAAAGAAGCTAGATGCCACATCAGCAGTGTCAAGGTGGCCCCACATGTCCACGTCAGCAGGGATGAGCCCGAGGGCCTCGGTGGCCATGGGGTCACCCCGCCACACGGCGTCCACATTGCTGAGGGACACATCAAAGCCCTGCGACAGCGCTGCCACCACCACCTCTATGTGCCTCGCCGTCCACCTGCTGCGCGCCCCCCCTCCCTCCACTCCCTCCTCTGCACCCTCCTCCTCAACCCCCTCGCCCTCCCCTCCACTTGCCCGCCAGTATCCACCTCCTCACCCTCCTCCTCCTCCAACCCCTCCTTCTCCCTCACTGCTTTCACCCCTCCCCTCGCTGTCAGCTGTCCCAGCCCCTGTGCCACCTGGCGCCTGCTGAGTGGCGGCAGATGGAAGGCAGCGAAGCCACGTGCGGACAGCTCAGCTGCCAGGCTGGCATGGGGGACGATGAGGACGAATGAGCGCAGGCCGCTGCCGTCAAGGTGGCAGAGCCAGTTGTTGACCTCGTCCCTGCCGCCCGTCGGCACCACCACCAGCGACACCCGCTTGTCCTGCATGCCAGGGGGTGGGGGAAGGGGAGAAGACGGGGAGGGAAGGAAGGGCAGAGAGCAGCAGGGAAGAGAGTGAGTCGTTGGCGAGGCATGGGATGAGACGCGACGCGCTGGAGTGAGAGCAGAGAGCAAGACAGAGCAGAGCAGAGAGCAGGGCGGTGCACCTGGGCGACGGCGGAGAGGAGGGAGTGCAGGTCCGGCAGGGAGTGCCCCACGGGGAGGTGCGGCAGCTCGCGAGCACACAGGTCGAAGCGCCTCACGCGCGCCATGCCCGGCAGCGGCCCCTCCATCCACGCCCTCACCGCCCCCTCCACCCCCCCCTCCCCGCCCCCTCCCCCGCTTCCCCCGCTCCCCCCACCCGCACCCGCCCCCATCCCTGGGAGCAGCGGCACGAGGGGGGCGTCAGAGGGGGGGGCGGCGCGCTTGAGGGGGAAGGCGAGGGAGAGGTTGGCGGGGAGGGGCGGGTAGAGTGAGAGCATGGCGGTGCTGTGCGCCCACTTGATGGCCCACGGCGACCACCTCCTGTTGCCCTGTGCACACGCGCACGAGGGGCATTGGAGGGGAGAATGGTGGTTGGAGAGAAGAGACGTGGCAGGCAATGACACAGCGGCGCGGCCTCAACTACCCATCACCTCTCACCTCTCCCTTCCCCACCTGCCCCCTTACCCTTTGCCCCTCTCCCCCATCCTCCCCCCACCTTGTCGCGGAACCACTGGGTGGTCTTGAGCCCGCCCACAAGGGGCTGCCGGCTGCCGTTGTACCGCCGCTTGTCCAGCCACAGGCGGAACTGCCGCCACGGCCCCGGCAGCAGCGCCTGCCCCCACGTGCCCGTCACGGCGTACAGGAACGGCGCGCCGTGCGCCAGCGGGGGGAGCGGGTCGGCGCCCAGCCCGGGCACGAAGGACTGGCGCTGCAGCGACACGCCCAGCACGTGCGGGTCGAAGTCCGCGCGCCGGAAGTAGTACCGCGCCAGGAGGCGCTTCAGGTAGCGGTAGTACAGCGGGGAGACTACCACGTGGTCCTCCACCATCAGCGCCACGTCAGCGAGGCTCTCCGGCCACCACGCCTCCACCCACTGGCCCTGCACGCCTGCGCTCTGCGATCGGTACATCACGCGCTTCGGCCCGTGCGGCCACGCGAACGCGTCGATCTGCGCCATTAGGGAATGGGAGGCCGCCACGCGTCTCGCGGCGCGCGGCGACCAGGGCGCGGCGTCGGCGCGCAGCGCGAAGGGGTGGTCGACGAAGACGTCCAGATGGACGGGCTCCGCGTCGTACAGCGCCGCCGCCAGCGCGCGCAGGCAGCGGAGCGCGTACGCGGGGCGGTCGAAGACGAGTACCTTCACGTGCAGGCGGAACCGCGCCGGGTCCACCTTGCCGTCGCCCAGCCCGCCGTACGCCCACGCCACCCCCGCTGGTAACCGCCACGCGCGGCCGGGCAGCGCTACGACGCTGTCGTTGATGTATGCTGACGCGGCGGACGTCGATTGGTCGGCCGGCTGAAGCGAGTCGTCGTTGCGGCAGGGGAGTTCGGTGGGACGCGGTGCGTGGACGCGCAGGTCGAGCCAGATGCGGAGCGACGCGGACAGCAGCAGCGCCGCGAACACGATTTCTGTGAATCGGTTGCGCTCAGTGACGGCGGTCATGGCGGCCGACAGAAAACGAGGCTTACCGCCTTCCGACGAGGATGATCGCGTCGCGATCTTGGGGGAGCCGCTGTGGCGCGGCTGAAGCGACGCCATGAGCGAAGTATCGCGGCCCGTCGATGCCTTGTGTATTATCGAATTGATGACGGCAGCATTGCTTCGGCAATTGGACAGACTTACAATGAGTGCGATGCGATCGTTGGACCTAATTTTCCTAGTATCTATAAGATACTGGAATCCAATATGGAGGCACAAATTGGTGGCAGTAAAAGGGTTACATACTGCAGCGAATCTCCGAAATGACGACGGTTCTGGTTAGGCTGGCGATGAGACTGCTGACTAGAGGTTCGCATTCAGGCAGCGTTTGATTTTGCTTGAATTCGCGAATTTTCTCCGGCTCTAGCTTGATAGGTGACAGGACAACATATTTCGTTACAATTCGCCACGTCCTGCCAATGCCTCACACAGCCACACAAGCCTGTCGTCAGCAACACCCCATCAGACGCTCTGACGGGAATCCGAGGCAAGGCGGGGAGCCTGCTGAGCCGAGGCATGCGAGGCTTGGAAGGGAAGTGCTTCAGGCAGGCATCGCATCGCATCGCACAGCGTCGCTCCACCACCACACAAAACAACACAACACTCTCCCTCCAATTTCGCTACTCCATTCCGAACCACCCAACATTCATGGAAACGGTGCAACGCGGTACCGCGAACTTCTTCCACCATCGGGTCCTCCCTCCTGACTCCCTCCCTGCATCCCGCCCTCGCCTCCCCCACTTGAACCGTCATTCTCGGCTCGCCAGTCCAACTGCATTTTCTAGGGTTTCACCTCATTAGTCGCCTTAGAGGCTAGTCTTAGAAGAAACTAGTGCAACAATGGTTGGCTGGCGACCGTGGTGGCCGAAGCCGCGTCCGAAGCCGCACGACACGGCGGGGGACCTTAATCCGGTGCTGCTTATACCGGGGATTGGAGGCTCTATTCTTAACGCGGTTAGCGAAGACGGGAAGAAGAAGGAACGAATATGGGTCCGGCTCTATAACGCGGATCAGGAGTTCCGCACGAAGCTATGGTCTAAATATAACCCTAACACAGGTTAGAGTTCGTTCACTCCGGAACCAATATTTTACTCATGCTTCCATTCTTCTCAGCGCTCACTCGCTCTTCTCATACTCTTCCTGTTTTTCGGCGCGCGGCGCGTGTTTTTCGCAGGCAAGTCGGAGTCGCTGGACGACAAGTCGCACATCGAGGTGCCGGACGACAACCACGGGCTCTACAGCTGCGACATCCTCGACCCCGACGTTGTAAGCACCGCGTCGCTTCCACGTCGTAAGCACCGCGTCGCTTCCACGTCGTAAGCACCGCGTCGCTTCCACGTCGTAAGCATTTCTCCGTGTTGCTTGTGAAGTCCGCGTGCTACCTCTCGCACCCACGCTGTTTCACATCTGTAACATCCCTTCACCTCCACCCCATCTCGCCGCCGTTTGCTTCCGTTTCGTCGGCGCTTCGTCTTCGTTCGCCGTGGTCCACGTGGCAGTCGGTACCGCTGGACGTGGTGTGCTACTACCACCACACCATCGTCGAGATGCGCAAGTGGGGCTTTAAGGACGGCGAGACCCTCTTCGGTTTCGGCTACGATTTTCGGCAAAGCAACGGTCAGCCTCCCACACCTCGTTCTCGTTTCTTCTCAGTTTCAAGGAATTTAGAGTTCCTTTCTGTTTTACGTGTCAGCTACATATTTTCTTATTCTAACCGTATACCGCTCTCTCGGTTGCCACCTGGCGCGTCCACGTGGCAGGCTGCCGGAGACGCTGGACCGGCTGCGCGCGCGGCTGGAGGCGATAGTGGCGGCAAGCGGGCGGCGCGTGGACGTGGTGACGCACAGCATGGGCGGGCTGCTCTTCAAGTCGTTCGTCGCGCTTCACCCCGCCGACGCCAAGCGCCTCGTGCGCAAGTGGGTCTCCATCGCCGCGCCCTTCCGAGGTGCGCGCGGACACGAGCGGGGGCGGTAGCGCGCGCAGGGGGGGGGGGGGGGGGGGGGGCACGGAAATGGCGGTTGAGTTGAGCGAACTGCTTGTGTCAGTCGGCGTGCGTCTGTGAGGAGCGTCGCGGGATGTGCGTCGCCACTGCTCCTCCGCACCCGTTCCTTTCCTCTCCCTCTCCCTCTTCCTCTCCCTCTCCCTCTCCCTCTCCCCCTCCCACGCCCTCTGCCTTGTACATGTCCTCCCATGCCCTCTGCCTTGTACATGTCCTCCCATGCCCTCTGCCTTGTACATGTCCTCCCATGCCCTCTGCCTTGTACATGTCCTCCCATGCCCTCTGCCTTGTACATGTCCTCCCATGCCCTCGCTCTCTATCGCTCTCGCCCTCCGGCTCATGTCCTCCACCTCGCCTCACTCCCACTCCCCTTGCGTGTCCCGCCCGTCCCCTCCGCGCGGCCGTGGCAGGCGCGCCGGGGTTCATAATGGACACGCTGCTGACGGGGGTGGAGTTCCTCAAGGGCTGGCAGAAGTCACTCTTCATCTCCAAGTGGACCATGCACCAACTCGTACGTTATGTGGACCATGCACCAACTCGTACGTTATGTGGACCATGCACCAACTCGTACGTTATGTGGACCATGCACCAACTCGTACGTTATGTGGACCATGCACCAACTCGTACGTTATGTGGACCATGCACCAACTCGTACGTTATGTGGACCATGCACCAACTCGTACGTTATGTGGACCATGCACCAACTCGTACGTTATGTGGACCATGCACCAACTCGTACGCCCTCCCAATCCCGCTCCTCTCCCTCCCGTTTCCCTCCCCCCCCTTCCCCCCCCCAACCACCCCACTCCCCTCCCCAACCCCACCACCTCCCCCCCCCCCGCTTGCTCGTGCTCGTAATAAAATGTAATGTTTTTTTTTTTTTTTTTTTTTCAGCCATTTGCTTGTCATTTGTAAGAGACATGGTTCTTGCACCTACTTCTCAGAATCCTGGAATGAGACATGCGTTGATGAAGAATCTTAGGTGATCTATGCAAAAACGTAGTGAAGGTGCATGCAAGTGACATACCCGTTGAGTGTTGATAACCGTATCCTTTTCCTTAAGATCCGTCATGAGCAAAATGATAAGGTTATCAACGCTCAACACTTGCATGGTACCTTCGTTACGCTTTTGAATAGATCACCTAAGATTCTGCATCGCGTGGGCTTGGCGCGCAGATGATGGAGTGCCCATCGGTGTACGAGCTCATGGCGGACTATGACTTCCACTGGGGCGGCTGCACGCCCCTCTAGATGCTCCTCTGACCTCTCCATCCCCCTTTCCTTGCGCCTCTCGTGCGCGCATCCGTCCGTGCGCGCATGCGTGGTGGCTTGGCTGGCAGATGGTGGAGTGCCCATCGGTGTACGAGCTCATGGCGGATTACGACTTCCACTGGGGCGGCCAGAAGCCCGAGCTGCGCATCGTGCGCCGCCAGCCCGACACCAAGGCGCACGGGGAGAGGGACGTGTGTGGCGGAGCAGAAGCGGAGTCGGATAGTGAGAGCGAGAGTGGGAGCGAGAGAGACAGCAGCATCGGCAGCAGCAGTGGGAGTGGCGGCGACAGCGAGGCGTGCAGTGGGACAGAATCCGTGGCAGGCGATTGCACCCCGCGGAGGGCGGGGGGCGAGGGGGTGATGGAGAGCGTGGTGGGGCGAGGGCGTGGTGGAGCAGCGCTTCACTCGCCTGCCCGATATCCTGGCTGCCATGGACAGAGCACTGGAAGGCAATAAGGTGCGCTGCAGGGCACATGGCAGGGTGTAGCAGGTGCAGGCAGGGTTTTGCTGATATTCCTGGCGCCCCAGCAACTCTGTCTGCTTTGTTTCTGTTCATTCCCACCCATACTAGCCATGCCATGTGGCACGTGCCATGTACCCCCTGTGTATTATACCGCTCCCGTGCATCACCTGTGCTGCGTGTGCCATGCGTCTCCCCATGCTTGGGTGCATGCAGATCGAGGTGAACGGGCGCACGGTGCCGCTGCCGTTCAACCGGGACATTGTGAGGTGGGCGGACGAGACAAGGCGCATCTGGGCCGGGGCGCGCCTCCCGCCGTCCATTGACTTCTACACCGTCTATGGCACCGGCCTCGACACGCCCTTCCACTCCCAGTACGCCCCTCGCTCTCCCTCGCCATCCTTTTCTCCTTCCTGCCCTTCCCTGTTAGTCCTTCCCTTTTGCACTCATTGTTCTTGTATCGACTCCTTCACTCCTGACACATGCTTCAAGCATGTAACCGTTTGCTTGCCCTCCCCATGGCTGCGACCCTTCCTCCCTGTGAGCACAGGTATGGGTCGCCCAAGGACCCGCTCAACGACCTGCCCGACATCCTCCACTCCGATGTGAGCCGCCCCTCCACAGCCCCCGACCACCCCTCTCCCGCCCCTGCTGCTCGCCCTCTCTCGCTCTCGCCTGTCTGTGCCGCTCTGCTTCGCCCACCTGCCTTGAAGTTTCACCCTCGTTCACCCGGTGTGCCGCCCCATGCCTCCCACCCGCCATGTGGCAGGCCACCTTTGACTGCGTGCACGGCGACGGCACCGTTCCCATCGAGTCCGCCCTCGTAAGCCACACTGCCCTCTGCTCCCACTCCCTCCCTCCCTGCCTCGCCTCCTCGTGTGTCTGCCGCACTCTCTCCCCTCCCTCCCTGCCTCGCCTCCTCTCGTGTGTCTGCCGCACTCTCTCCCATTCTCCCTCCCCGTCCTTCCCTGCTTTCGTCCCTGCCTCTCTCTATTTCTCCAACTCCTTATCCGCCACCCCTCCATGCCACCCACCCTCTTCAACCCCACCCACACTGGCACACACGGCAGGCGGACGGCTTCCCGGCGCGCTTCCGAGTGGGAGTGCCGGGAGCGGAGCACCGCGAGCTGCTGCGCCTGCCGCGCGTGTTCAGCCTGCTGCACTTCTTCCTGGAGGTCAAGGGCAAGGACCCCCTCTACGACCCCCTCTCCGACTTCGTCATCGTCCCCCGCCCCCTGGGGGCTGCAGAGGAGGAGCAGGGGGAGGGCGAGGGGAAGGGGAGGAAGAGGAGGAAGATGGTGTGGGGTGGGATTGATGTATGGGGAGAAGGGGGGGGGTTCGGATGGGAGGGAAGTGGGGGGTGAGAAGGGGGGGAGGGAAGTGGCGGTGAGAGTGGAGGTGGGGGGGCAGGCGGTGCGGGCGGTGGTGTGTGAGACAGAGGCAGGGAAGGGCACGGTGTGTGTGTCTCTCTCATCCACCTTGACATCTCCTGACAGAACTGAAGGTGTGTACCTTATATATGTACACTATTTGCTACTTGCGCCTTTTTTCTCATCCTCCTTCAGTGCCTTCCTTTGACCGACCAGCCTATTAATGTTCTTCTCTCTTATTTGGTTGTGTCGCAGTGTCATGCTGCTTTGGCATCTGTCAGCGATAATCCCTCTTCATTCTGCCCTCAAGGGTACGCCAGTGGCAAGCTGAGTGTGTGCCTCCAACACCAGCCAGAAGTTCACAATTGAAGTTAAACAAGAAACTGTAGTAGCTCTCATCTCATCCTTCCTCCATGTGCATATACCTGTCTTGTTTTTTCTCTTATTTCTTGTACATAATTCTTTCTATTGACTAGAGCCACGTCACTTTGTACCCTCAATAAAATCTTGGGTCTTCCACTGTTGTGAAGTGGTACTGGTATCCAAATGAAATACGGTACCCCTTGACGTCCATGCAAACATCCACAAGAGAAACATGTGCACTTTTATTCCCCTTCAACCCTCGAGTTGTCGCACACGTCGTTCTCCCCGTCATTGTCGCATCACAGTCGCACACTGTTCTGCTACCCCTCCCCGCTGAGTGCGTGTTTCACGTTCACCAACAGCTGTGCTTGACGTGGGTTGGCGGAAACAAACCCTCCAACCCACGTGAATTCGAGTTTGACGACCCACGTGCCCAAACTCGTTACCCAGCGTTGCTGCTTGTGCCTTGAATCACAGGTCTCTGCGCTCACCACCACCCGCGTCACTTCCTCGTCGCGCACTGTCGCGGCGGCCCGGCATGGAGGTGAAACGGTCGCAGCAGTGGAAGTACGTGCTACTGGCAGCGATGGGGGGCGTGCTGGCGCTGCTGCGGCTGATCAGTCCCGTGCAGGCCAGCTGCCTCGTCATGCTCGCCTATATCCTCTCGCGCCGCCACTCCAACGAGATCCAGCGCCAGTGGGAACGCGCGCAGGCCGCCAAGGAGGCGCAGCGGAGGGCGGAAGAGGAGGCCCTGGCTGCGCTTCCTGCGCGGAAGCGGAAGGCGATTCAGCGCGCGCGGGCGAAAGAAGCGGCGAGCGCGGAACAGGCGGGGCAAGACGCAACGGAGGACAGCGACGAGGGTAGCGACCAATAGCGCGCAGCCGCACGGACGCACTGATGGACGTACATGGCGCTGGCGCACGAGTAGAAGATCTCAAGAAGTCATGGTATCTGCTGCGCTTGACGAGATGCTCTCGTGCTTTCGCTCCCGCGCCCGACGCCCGACGCCCGACGCCCGCGGGACGGCATGTACTCCACATTTGGGGGCGCTGATTGTGAGATCTGGGTTTACCCGCTGCGGCAGCAGAGAGAGTAAGTGGGTGATGGGGCTGGGGGAGCCTAGGAAGAGCTGCACAGCAGTGAACAGCGCATGTAGCTCATTGGAGGCCCAGACAGAAGTAGGAAATGACAGCTTGGCAAGTTGTGAAGGCGCTCTGACAAACAACCGTGTCTATCGTGTTGAATTCAAGCTCTTAGCTGGCGAGCTGCCTCCCCGCTCCTCTGATTGTTCAGCACTAAGTTTGCTGCAATGTGGCTCTCTTGTTTGCTTAGCAACTATACGGTCAAGGTGATTTAGCTGTCAATTTCTTACTGGAAGCCTCGGTTGTGGTACCGCATGCGGAAACCAACGGAAGGCCACATTCCAGTCTTCCACATCTCTACTTGGACTAGTTGATGGACCTGCTCTCTGCAAGATGCATACCAGGCTCTGTATGTAAGCCAATGCTTTCACGAAGTGGTGCCGGTACAGGGATCATTGTACAAGAGTGGTGACAAAAAGAAAACATGTCTTGACACGTGTCATCTTGGCGGGGCCTGTCAATGTGTGTTCACAAGACGGGAGGCGCTTTGAGAGGCAGTATGGAGCCAAAAATACTTTGGTGGGCAAGTCAGGCCATAGAAAGGACAGGTCATGGGTAGTGCAGAAGAGGTCATGTTCATGGGTAGGCGCAGTAGCTGGTCAGCTCCCTGCTGCCTGCAGCAACAACAAAGAGAGACAGGACTGCGCTAGAGTCAGTTATGCACTCTAGCCTTGAGAATTCAGCAATGAAGTGCCAAGAACGTGAAGCAAATGTGAGATGCTACAACACCAAAACGATCACCATTCACACGAAATCACTGACCATGTGTATGTGCAGAGTGCGAGAACAAGCCCCAAGTCATGAGTCAATTTTCAGCCAGTCCGGAGCGACGACCCGTGGCAGGTTGATGTGGGGTAGGCTGGATGCACGCGAAACGCAAGTCAATCCACGTTGCAGGCATATCAGACAATGCATGTCACTCTCATGGTGAACTAGCGAGGCAGCAAGGGAAGTATATACTTGCACAAACAACATTTGCATGCACCTGGGGTACGCCTTACATCAATGGATGTGGATGACTTTACCATACATTGGAAAAAGCTGTTGTTGTCGTTGTTTTCTGTGCGTGTGTGAGTGGTTCTCTTTTCCCCTCGTTTTTCATTGACAAAACCCTAACGCGTGGAACCTAGCACGCTTCCGTACCTCTAGCTTCGGCTGCAGACCCTCCTCTGCCGGTGCTGCCGGCTTGGCGCCCTTTTGCTGCTAGTGGAAGCACACCAAAGGCACGGAGAGGAAACAGATGCGAAGACATTTGAGGTGGGGATGACCAGCAAGCAGACGCGATGCAATGCGGCAGAATGCAATAAAATGCGACGCAATACGTTACGACGCGATCGTACCTTTTGGATGGCCCACTCGGCGGAGTCGAAAAAGGCCCTCTCGTGGCCCTGCGAGTACACGAGGCGGAAGACGCGTGGCAAGCGGGTGAGTATTCATGAGCTCCTAAAACAAAGAGAACTGACCCGACGAATAGGAGTACATCGAACACCAAGATTAGGTGTTTCAAATAAAGAAGGAACCGGAGCAGACTGTTTAATCATAAGCTTTATCGACGCAAGCAGACCAGCAAACGAAGTTAAAAAACGTGCATCATAAGGAGAGGGAACAGAAGGCAGAAGGTCGGCGTAACACCTTGGAAAGCAGCCCTTTTTTCTTAGGCAGAGCCCCGCCATACTTCTTCTTCAACCGAGCCTCCTGCACGGATCATTGATAAACGAAGGTGGCAATTCGGCAATCATGGATCATGGACCATGTATGCTCGAGCTAAATCATGGAGCATGGATGGTGGCGCACGGCACGTGTGAGCACATCCGCAAGGGTCTTATGTCAAGTGATCAAGTGTGGGGGACGGAGTGCATGCTGGACCACAAACCGTCACGATTGATTTGGAAAGTAGTTAATGCAGGACGCATGCATGAGGAAGGAACAGGAACGCGGAAACACATGCGCGGTGTAACTGTTAACGAGGCAGTCGAAGAGAGACCATGAAAAAGTGACAACCGGTTTGTCCGGCTAAGGTGACGCATCGGGACCCGACTGTGCCAAAAACTAGAAGCATTAGACTCGAAAGGTCCGAGCGAACCTGCTCAGCGAGCGACACCTCATCCGCCATGGCGCTTCCACCAGAACTCGCAGCTCGTAGCGCAAAAGACCGGAGCAATCGGCTCGTTCGTAACGTCAGGCGAAGACCAAGTGCAAATGACAGTGAAAGGCGTTGGGCGATGCGTAGATGAGCAGGTATGGGACACTAGAAAGATAAAGAGACTGGGACAATAAAACGCAGATTTCGAAAAGCAAAACTCAAGTTCCAAGTACAAGACACGGACTAGTATTGCGCTGCCCTGCCTTGCCTTGCCAGCCCTTGCTGTATTGGTCCTTCCATCATCACCTCACCTCGCCTCGCCTGGTCTCGCCTCGACTCGCCTCGCCTGATGCTCCCTCTGTAGGTCAGCCGAACCTCGACAGTCCCAAGGAAAAGCAGGCTGCTGCTCGACAATTGTTCGGAACAGACCACAGACAAAACCCGTGCCTTCTGCCAAGCCGAACTATCACTGTACAAGTTTCAGCCTAGAAGATTCCGATAGAACACGTTTGTCAGGTGCGGAATTACACGATATAGCAATTATTGCAGAATAGCAAGTAACAAGTCCACTCTAATATTCATTCCTATGTACAGAACAATACAATATGTATTTGGTAAATGGCAATATGTTTTCCTAAGTACCTGCCTCTTATTTCTACAAAGGTTCCCCTACCGGTTATAAGCTCCATCTTGGCCGCTGGTCCTGCACCACTTGCTGCTGCCTTGCAGTGATGGCTGCTGCAAGCCGTCCCCCTCCCTTTAGATTGAATTGACGGATTCTTGACCAGAATTTGGCGAGCTGCCTCACAGGAAGCACCTCTCTGGGATGTGCATGGGCTGCACGAGCGTCGTTGATGGAGCGTCTGCGTGTGATTCCTCTCACACAATACATGCTGCATGTCTCTCGCATAACATTTACTTGTTTCCATCGGTACCCAAAAAAATCTTGGGGTGAATCCTGGTGACAACAGAGGGCTTGGGATTGCTCATCCCGCCACAGTGGCAGGTCATCATTCGGAGGTTCCAAGGTGCTGTTTGGGGACCATGGCTGCCCTTGCAACTGGGCTTGAATCGTCCTCCTCACAACTGTAATAGCAGGCCTTGCTGTGGGAAGAGAAACAATCTCCGATTCTTCAACAACAGCTCTCGCTGGCGTGGCATTACACTCCGTATCCTTGCTCATCCAATTAAACAGCTTCCCCGCCTCTGCAGCCTCCCACACGTCCCGCGGCGACTGCACGGGCGAAAGCACGGGCGACTGGCTCCGGATTCGCGTGGGCGTGGCCTGCCGCTTCAGTCGCAGCAGCAGCGGCGCGATGTCGCTCGACAGTTGCTTCCTCAGCGTCACGCGTCCCGGCGCCGCGGGAATTTCCGTCCCCCCCGGCGGCCCTCCCCCAAACCGTCCCTCCCGCGGCCCGCTGCAGCTTCTCGTCGCGCCCCTCCGCCGTTCGCTCCCGCTACCGCTATCAGGCATCCCCGGAATGGGCGCGCGGCCGTGAGCGGGTGGCGCTAATGGCAGCGCCTTAGGTCGGAACGACTGCTGCAGCAACTCAGCCGTGCGCTCCTGCGACGCCCGGCGACTCGCAGACCGTCGCGTGGCGTCGTCAGGAGGGCTCCCCGCGCACGGCGGGGATGATAGTGGCGCTTGCGCGGGGGACGACGGGCGGTGCATGGCGGCGTGGATGCGCGTGAGTGCGTGCGAGAGCTGCGCGCTGGGGCTCTTCATGGCGTGGCGCGGGGAGGACGGCAGATCAACGAGACAGCAGTAAGGGACACGCGCGATTTGTTTTCGCGACTTGAATCTGCAGGAAAGCAGCGGATGCAGGTGCCTTCAACTAGCGAGCGCTGAGGCGAAGGAGACTTGCGGATAAAGAGAAGCGACGAACGCGAATGATGAGCCGAAGAAGGCAGCAGTGCTACCCTCGGTACGTGTCTAACTGGCATGACTGGTAACTCGGAAATCATGTACTTCTGGAAATATGGAAGATTGGGGATGGAGGTTTCAAGGACTGCAAGGTGGCAGCGGCAGCGAGCGTGTGCGCGAGGAATGAAGGGAAGGTGAAGCAGGCGTCGGTTGAAAATGCAGCAGCGGGCTTCAGCTGCTGTTCACGCGTAGGGCACGGCACGGCAGCCTCCAAAGCCCTACAACGAGAGTGAGAGGCGGGGTTGGAGATGCACTGGGAGGTTGCGCCACGATTGGGGAAACGAAACCTGCGATTAAGCTGTCCCGCTACGATAAATACATACATTCATAAATTTGATTAATTACAGAAAGTACAAACAGTTTGAACTGATGTCAGAAGATATGCAAGTACAGACAACATGAAAACAAAAAATCGTAAATGACATGCAACATGTCCGCTGTCAAGATAACCGAAGCAGAGAGGAGGACAAGGAATCAAGGAACGGCACCGCCATGACACACCCACACAGCAGCACAACGGCAGCAGTGACCCAAAACGACAAGCTTGACAGGCCCGGCTGCTGCTTCCCACTCGCACTGCCTGACCCTGCTGCACCTGCCTCTGCTGTCTTCCCTGCACCAAACGCACCAGCAACACCCGTCTTCCCTCCTGTTCTAACCACCCTCCGCACGCCCCCCTCTTTTCTCTCTGCCCCTCCCTGACCTCCTACCCTCAGCTCCCTCCCCCCTTCACTGCCCTTCCCTTCCCGACTCCCCACCACTGCAGCAGCAGCTTCCACCACCCGCCTGCCCTTCCCTGCACCCTTCCCCCTCCCCTCTGCGCCATCCCCTTGTGCTCTGCTGGCGGAATCTGCCCCCTCTGCTGCCTCTGCTGCCGATGCCAGCGATGCCGTGTAGCTGTCAACCAGGTCCGGGAAGAGCTTGCGGAACACGGGGCTGGGGAAGGGGGGAAGAAAAGGGGGGGGGATTGGAGCAACAGACATAACGGGAAGTGAAGAGGGAGGAATGCAGTGTTGACCAACAGATGACGGATTGCTGAGAGAAATCCACATGGACTGAGGGCGAGAGGAACAAGGGCGAGGGGAACGAGGGCAGGCTAATTGGATGTGCAGAGAAGGCAGCGAGGGCGGTACCTGCGGCAGTTGTTGGGCATGGAGAGGCGCGCTAGCTTGCGCCTGTCTGCTTCTGACGCCACTATGCTGCCCGCCGTCACTGCATCGTCCGACTGGCCACAGGGGGGAGGGGGGGAACAGAGGGGGGGCAGGGGGGTTGTGCACAGGAGAAGGCAGAGGGGAGGAGATGGAACAGGGGTAGAGGTGGGCAGGGAACATGACGGGCATGGACGCCAGTGAGTGAGTGGACATTGAATGCACATCTCATCACAGCACAACAGGCAACGCTAATCTGTGATGTGAGTGCGCATGGCAAATCACGCATCTCTTAGTAGTCTTCTAAGCACAGCCTGCTTGAAACGCGAGAGCGAGGACGCACTGCCAGCGAGCGTGAACATGCGAGTGCGGCTCTGCTGGAAAAACACGCACAGTACTGCAAGAGCACAGCGCCTCATCAGCACGTACCATGAAGGAGAGAAGGCCGGTCAGAATGCTGCGAACGATGGGGCAGGGGACAGCGGGATGGAGGGAGAGATGGATGTGGTGAGGATGGCATGCATGGAGGTCAGTCAGACCACGAGGACTTGGAGTGGCGTCGTGGTGTCATGGAAACAACAGCGGTTTGTGATGGAAACAACAGCGGTTTGTGATGGAAACAACAGCGGTTTGTGATGGAAAACAACAGCGGTTTGTGATGGAAACAACACGCGTTTGTGATGGAAACAACAGCGGTTTGTGATGGAAACAACAGCGGTTTGTGATGGAAACAACAGCGGTTTGTGATGGAAACAACAGCGGTTTGTGATGGAAACAACAGCGGTTTGTGATGGAAACAACAGCGGTTTGTGATGGAAACAACAGCGGTTTGTGATGGAAACAACAGCGGTTTGTGATGGAAACAACAGCGGTTTGTGATGGAAACAACAGCGGTTTGTGATGGAAACAACAGCGGTTTGTGATGGAAACAACAGCGGTTTGTGATGGAAACAACAGCGGTTTGTGATGGAAACAACAGCGGTTTGTGATGGAAACAACAGCGGTTTGTGATGGAAACAACAGCGGTTTGTGATGGAAAACAACAGCGGTTTGTGATGGAAACAACAGCGGTTTGTGATGGAAACAACAGCGGTTTGTGATGGAAACAACAGCGGTTTGTGATGGAAACAACAGCGGTTTGTGATGGAAACAACAGCGGTTTGTGATGGAAACAACAGCGGTTTGTGATGGAAACAACAGCGGTTTGTGATGGAAACAACAGCGGTTTGTGATGGAAACAACAGCGGTTTGTGATGGAAACAACAGCGGTTTGTGATGGAAACAACAGCGGTTTGTGATGGAAACAACAGCGGTTTGTGATGGAAACAACAGCGGTTTGTGATGGAAACAACAGCGGTTTGTGATGGAAAACAACAGCGGTTTGTGATGGAAACAACAGCGGTTTGTGATGGAAACAACAGCGGTTTGTGATGGAAACAACAGCGGTTTGTGATGGAAACAACAGCGGTTTGTGATGGAAACAACAGCGGTTTGTGATGGAAACAACAGCGGTTTGTGATGAAACAACAGCGGTTTGTGATGGAAACAACAGCGGTTTGTGATGGAAACAACAGCGGTTTGTGATGGAAACAACAGCGGTTTGTGATGGAAACAACAGCGGTTTGTGATGGAAACAACAGCGGTTTGTGATGGAAACAACAGCGGTTTGTGATGGGAAACAACAGCGGTTTGTGATGGAAACAACAGCGGTTTGTGATGGAAACAACAGCGGTTTGTGATGGAAACAACAGCGGTTTGTGATGGAAAACAACAGCGGTTTGTGATGGAAACAACAGCGGTTTGTGATGGAAACAACAGCGGTTTGTGATGGAAACAACAGCGGTTTGTGATGGAAACAACAGCGGTTTGTGATGGAAACAACAGCGGTTTGTGATGGAAACAACAGCGGTTTGTGATGGAAACAACAGCGGTTTGTGATGGAAACAACAGCGGTTTGTGATGGAAACAACAGCGGTTTGTGATGGAAACAACAGCGGTTTGTGATGGAAACAACAGCGGTTTGTGATGGAAACAACAGCGGTTTGTGATGGAAACAACAGCGGGTTTGTGATGGAAACAACAGCGGTTTGTGATGGAAACAACAGCGGTTTGTGATGGAAACAACAGCGGTTTGTGATGGAAACAACAGCGGTTTGTGATGGAAACAACAGCGGTTTGTGATGGAAACAACAGCGGTTTGTGATGGAAACAACAGCGGTTTGTGATGGAAACAACAGCGGTTTGTGATGGAAACAACAGCGGTTTGTGATGGAAACAACAGCGGTTTGTGATGGAAACAACAGCGGTTTGTGATGGAAACAACAGCGGTTTGTGATGGAAACAACAGCGGTTTGTGATGGAAACAACAGCGGTTTGTGATGGAAACAACAGCGGTTTGTGATGGAAACAACAGCGGTTTGTGATGGAAACAACAGCGGTTTGTGATGGGGAACAACAGCGGTTTGTGATGGAAACAACAGCGGTTTGTGATGGAAACAACAGCGGTTTGTGATGGAAACAACAGCGGTTTGTGATGGAAACAACAGCGGTTTGTGATGGAAACAACAGCGGTTGTGATGGAAACAACAGCGGTTTGTGATGGAAACAACAGCGGTTTGTGATGGAAACAACAGCGGTTTGTGATGGAAACAACAGCGGTTTGTGATGGAAACAACAGCGGTTTGTGATGGAAACAACAGCGGTTTGTGATGGAAACAACAGCGGTTTGTGATGGAAACAACAGCGGGTTTGTGATGGAAACAACAGCGGTTGTGATGGAAACAACAGCGGTTTGTGATGGAAAAACACAGCGGTTTGTGATGGAAACAACAGCGGTTTGTGATGGAAACAACAGCGGTTTGTGATGGAAACAACAGCGGTTTGTGATGGAAAAAACAGCGGTTTGTGATGGAAAACAACAGCGGTTTGTGATGGAAACAACAGCGGTTTGTGATGGAAACAACAGCGGTTTGTGATGGAAACAACAGCGGTTTTTGTGATGGAAACAACAGCGGTTTGTGATGGAAACAAACAGCGGTTTGTGATGGAAACAACAGCGGTTTGTGATGGAAACAACAGCGGTTTGTGATGGAAACAACAGCGGTTTGTGATGGAAACAACAGCGGTTTGTGATGGAAACAACAGCGGTTTGTGATGGAAACAACAGCGGTTTGTGATGGAAACAACAGCGGTTTGTGATGGAAACAACAGCGGTTTGTGATGGAAACAACAGCGGTGTGATGATGGAAAACACAGCGGTTTGTGATGGAAAACAACAGCGGTTTGTGATGGAAAAAACAGCGGTTTGTGATGGAAACAACAGCGGTTTGTGATGGAAACAACAGCGGTTTGTGATGGAAACAACAGCGGTTTGTGATGGAAACAACAGCGGTTTGTGATGGAAACAACAGCGGTTTGTGATGGAACAACAGCGGTTTGTGATGGAAACAACAGCGGTTTTTGGGATGGAAAAACAACAGCGGTTTGTGATGGAAAAACACCGCGGTTTGTGATGGAAACAACAGCGGTTTGTGATGGAAACAACAGCGGTTTGTGATGGAAACAACAGCGGTTTGTGATGGAAAACAACAGCGGTTTGTGATGGAAACAAACAGCGGTTTGTGATGGAAACAACAGCGGTTTGTGATGGAAACAACAGCGGTTTGTGATGGAAACAACAGCGGTTTGTGATGGAAAAAACAGGCGGTTTGTGATGGAAACAACAGCGGTTTGTGATGGAAACAACAGCGGTTTGTGATGGAAACAACAGCGTGGTTTGTGATGGAAACAACAGCGGTTTGTGTGATGGAAACAACAGCGGTTTGTGATGAAAACAACAGCGGTTTGTGATGGAAAACACAGCGGTTTGTGATGGAAACAACAGCGGTTTGTGATGGAAACAACAGCGGTTTGTTTGTGATGGAAACAACAGCGGTTTGTGATGGAAACAACAGCGGTTGTGATGGAAAACAACAGCGGTTTGTGATGGAAACAACAGCGGTTTGTGATGGAAACAACAGCGGTTTGTGATGGAAACAACAGCGGTTTGTGATGGAAACAACAGCGGTTTGTGATGGAAACAACAGCGGTTTGTGATGGAACAACAGCGGTTTGTGATGGAAACAACAGCGGTTTGTGATGGAAACAACAGCGGTTTGTGATGGAAACAACAGCGGTTTGTGATGGAAACAACAGCGGTTTGTGATGGAAACAACAGCGGTTTGTGATGGAAACAACAGCGGTTTGTGATGGAAACAACAGCGGTTTGTGATGGAAACAACAGCGGTTTGTGATGGAAACAACAGCGTTTGTGATGATGGAAACAACAGCGGTTTTGTGATGGAAACAACAGCGGTTTGTGATGGAAACAACAGCGGTTTGTGATGGAAACAACAGCGGTTTGTGATGGAAACAACAGCGGTTTGTGATGGAAAACAACAGCGGTTTGTGATGGAAACAACAGCGGTTTGTGGATGGAAACAACAGCGGTTTGTGATGGAAACAACAGCGGTTTGTGATGGAAACAACAGCGGTTTGTGATGGAAACAACAGCGGTTTGTGATGGAAACAACAGCGGTTTGTGATGGAAACAACAGCGGTTTGTGATGGAAACAACAGCGGTTTGTGATGGAAACAACAGCGGTTTGTGATGGAAACAAAACAACAGCGGTTTGTGATGGAAACAACAGCGGTTTGTGATGGAAACAACAGCGGTTTTGTGATGGAAAACAACAGCGGTTTGTGATGGAAACAACAGCGGTTTGTGATGGAAACAACAGCGGTTTGTGATGGAAACAACAGCGGTTTGTGATGGAAACAACAGCGGTTTGTGATGGAAACAACAGCGGGTTGTGATGGGAAACAACAGCGGTTTGTGATGGAAACAACAGCGGTTTGTGATGGAAACAACAGCGGTTTGTGATGGAAACAACAGCGGTTTGTGATGGAAACAACAGCGGTTTGTGATGGAAACAACAGCGGTTTGTGATGGAAACAACAGCGGTTTGTGATGGAAACAACAGCGGT